CAAAACATGTTTAAATGAAAATATGCTGCCAAAATATACGCATCTATATATATATATATATATATATATATATATATATATACATAATGTGTGTGTATGCGTAAAAATATGCATATATATGGGCGTTATGTGTGTGTAAAATATTAAAATATGTAGACATATCGGCGTAATTTATACGCTTAATAATATAGCTGCCAATACTTAATGACAAATTTGACATTTAATTCTGAATAATGAACACATTGACCGTGTCATCAAAAGAAAATGGCGGTGTATTTGATATTTGATATTTTATCTGTACAAAACAATTGCAAAATTATCTTCCGACTTAAAAATAATATAAAACATGACGAATTATGTTAAATTTGAAATAATAGTAGATTCAATTTCTATTGCATCCTTAGAAATGTCCGATACATAGGGAGAGACATGTATATTTTTGTAGTGGACTCTCACCGAGACGTAAAAGTTAATACCAAAAACAATATATATAATTATCTATTAAGCAATACGTTTATTTATTTTCCCCTACCGGTCTAAATGTTTGAGTAATCATATTAAAACAAAGACACAGTCACTGACAGGATTCGAGCATGCATCCCACTGGGCACCAGTAGTTATCATGGAAAGCGATACAGTTTGGCCAACTGAGATACAGTGAAGGAATTACCGAGGCTGAGCGCAAATCCAGCATTTAAGAGAAAGTTCCTTCTTCTTAGATCTGAAATTTTCCATACGATTTGAAATATTTTTACTTTTAATTTTTGTTTTTAATTTTAATATAGTATATTAAAAATTAAAAGTAAAAATGTTTCAAATCGTAGTTAAATAAAAAGTATTCTAACCTAAACACCACCCAAAAACTCTTTAAATATACGACGGAAAAAATGCAATCAGAATTTTAGCCGTTAACAATAAAATTTAAAAAAAAATCCAGACGACACACTTTTAACGGATGTTAGATTTCATTGAAAAATACATCCCTACCCACTACCAAAATGTAGCAATAACTGATACATTAAAATATAGATATATTGAACAACCAGACACCCCTAGTCTAGTAAAATGGATTCATCTGTAACCTAGGAAACATGAATTATGTTTTAGCTGTGTATTTATAACCCAGTAATTTTAAAAGTTACTCCAAAATTCGCTTGAGGATGAAATGGAACTAATGTCTTTAATTTAATTACAAAATTAAATTCGGGGCTTTAGCTTCCATTTTTGAAACATGGTTAGAAATGTAGCGAAAAAAACATATTTTAAATCAATTAATTTTATATATATATATATATATATATATATATATATATATATATACTGGGTATATTCATTATGTGGACACATTCATTATTAGTAATGGGTAATATATATTTCAGCAAATCTTATGATAATAAATTCGAACACAATTGAAAGTTATATTCTAAAATCGGACACTATATTCCGAACAAACTAAAATTAAAGAAAACCCGAAACCCGATATTGATGTCAACTTTTTCTTTTTGCTTTGTTTCAAGGCAAGTGAACAATAACAACATATTAATACTAGCTGAATTACCCGCTCCTTGCATTTTTAGTAAGAAAACGATGATTAATCTTAAATCATGGTTACAATTTGTGGAGAAAAATGATGCATTTCAATGATCTTGCCGATATGACCTCCAACTTATGACTTTCTCCTTCTATATTTTGTATAAGAGTCATTCTCTTGTTCAAATTTAAATTTAATTTAAATCCTAGGGAAAAACTTCAGTGAACTGTTTGTGCAAAAACATATTGATTTGATCCTTTTGATATATATGTAAAGCAATAGTTGATTGAATGAATTGATGAGCATATTTCAATATTGATATGGCAGTTGAATTGTCGCTACAACTATGTATTTATGTATTGATTGGAGATTTCTTGCTGAACTTGAAGTCCATATTATCTCATTTTGATCTTGCCAATGTGATCTCCATCTTCTGGCTTTCTCCTTCTATATTTTAGATAGGAGTCATTGCCTTATTTAAATTTAATTTAAATCAAAGGGAAAAAAAAATCAGTGTGGTGTTTGTGCCCCCGGGTACACATTTTGATCAAAAGGAAATATACATATTCAAGTATCCTAGGAGTCATTCCCTTGTTCAAATTTAAATTTAATTTAAATCAAAGGGAAAAAACATTTTCCATGGGGTATTTATACCCCACCGGGATCCCCTTTGATCGAAATGAAATATATTTATCAAATGGAATTGGTAGTGTTGTTTCAAAATATATATGGTTATGGAGTCTATCACAAACACCCTAGGAGGAGTTCGATAACAAACAGACAAACAGATAGAGGCTACAACTTTATATATATATATATATATATATATATATATATATATATATATATATATATATATATATATATATAGGTAGATAGATAGATAGATAGATAGATAAATTATAAATTATTTACAGCATCTTAACCTGTGAAGCCTAAAAGGATATCACTTTTCCAGGATGCCCATTTTTAAAATTATAAGTTTACTTAAAATGAGGAATCAATAAATCCTTATCCAGAAGCTTAGTTACTAGCTATTCTTGGGTATAACGATAAACTACTTCCAGCAGCAAGCCCTCTGATCTAAAGATTGGAGGTTTTGTGGATTGTGCTCTTGTACCCAGGTCCAGTATGACCCGGGGTGGTAGCAGCTATTACGGACACAGCTACGGGCAAATAACAACCCCCGAAACAAAACCCTATGAAAGTATAAAAATACATTTTACAGTAAAAATATCCAGCAATAAATTTTATATAAAAAATAACAACAATACATCATATAGATGGCCATTCGTATTCGAAGATACACACCCACAGGGGCGGCTAGCCAAACCCTATTACAGCAATCCCGCTTGTCCAGGCGCATTTTGTGTTTATTCCACACCCACAGAGCCCGCCTATGTTTTATACTGCAACCATGCTGAGCAGGATTTTGTTACAATTTCTGGGAAAAGAGCGTGTGATCTAGCGTGATCAACTATTTGAACAAGACCAGCACATTAAATCCCTCAGCCACTATGACTTGTGACTTCGTGCTAGCACAGCTATCGATGCCCACCCCCAATGGTTCTCTCTAATACTAATATGGTTTTCCGGTACTTTCCAAAGGTGTCGCTGGGATCGTCCCTTCCAGATAACATCAGGAATTCTCCTTCCTGGCAAATCGACCATATTGAGATTCCAACCCGGGTTTCATGGGCAGAATGAAAACGTTCTAACCACTTGACCACATGCCGACAATACATTTCTATAGTAAAAATACAAGTTGTAAATTTTATAGCAAAATGACCAACCATACATTTTATCTCTAGTCGAAGGCATAAAATGCGTTAAAAATATATTTAGTTAAAGCCATAAAAATATTTTCATTATATTTAGATTATGGCATTAAATAACCCATAGATGTGTTGATATGCCGTTAAAAATCAACCAACCAACTAAACAGCCAACTATAAAACTGTTGTGGTAGGATCCACCTAATTTGCATAGTGGTGTACCGACCATATAAATATGATTGGTACCGGGAAGAGAGGGAGGAATCAAGAGATTCAGCCAGAGACTCTGCCCGACTGCGACTCAGTCAACACATTCTCCAGGAACGGTCTTACCAGGAATATACAAAAGACTATATGTAAATATTGTGTACCTTTCTTGTTTCAATACATTTTGTGTTGTATTATTGTTCCATGCATCAGTCAAGTTTCAATAAAAACCAACCAACCAAACGCAGTTATTAGTTCAAGGGAAATCCGAAATTCTCACTGTATAATGTTTGCGTGCAATGAATATAATTATATTAATCATAAAAAAAGAAGTTTTTTTCATCTTTAAACGTGGGTCTAACCTCCATATATAAATTGTCAGACATGAACCTTAAATCCTTCAGCATGAAAAACAACCAATTTTAATAAATTTGTTTTAGTGAAACCTTTTTCTTCCGGGTGAAACGCTGAACTGAATGACTGATTAACCCAAATACTACGCATGCTCAGAACCCTAATACGAAGTGGTACCATATTTGGATATAGTCTGTGTATAGCCTCTCGTTTACGTAAAATCATTTTCAAATTAAATTTACTATATAACTAGCCTAGAAGCCGTCCCTAGGCGTACTTTAGACTAGGCCCTGCGCAGGGCTTTTAGGGAATCGACCTGTTAAATTCAGCGTCCTATGTAAGTAAAAGTTATAAGAATTTAGAAATAATAAAATTATTTTATCTGTATGCGACACCTTACTTCGGCATAATCTTTCTTCGTATACGCAGTCGATCTCCCTAGTTTGTTTGCATTTATTTTGCGCGCAATTTTTATTTTCAATTCTTAATGATCTCTTCCGATAAAGTCACTCTTAAAAGACATTAGGGAACTATATGGAATACGTTACAGTACTCGGGCTAGAAAAAACATATGAACAACTTACTTTTAAATACAGTTTAATTGGACGCTATCAATTGCAACTGCGACTAAAAATTAAAGTTAAACCTTTAATAAGGAATTATTGTTAAACTTTTCACTCTGTTCGATGTTTAAATTTAACTTTAAATGAGTTACTTATTAAATTTGTAATCGCATGTAACAACAGTAATTACAACCTGTTTCTTTAGGCTGTTAAAGATTCGCCGAGATCGAAAAACAGATAGAGAGACTACGCTTTTTATATATATATATATATATATATATATATATATATATATATATATATATATAAAAAAGATATATAAATATTTGGCATATTATTAATATGAATAAGTTATTTAATCGGGATATCAAAATTTGAGGAAAAGAATCTTGCTTGAAAGTAAATTTATGATGAATTTGAAAGGAAGTTCAAATATAAAATATATTTTTCTATAATCTTCAGAACTGATGATGTTTTTGGAAAAATATATAATGTCAAATTGTTGACTTTGTAAAGAAAATTGCATTAATTTGCATTTGATTTTTCGAAAATACTAAAATGTACCAAAATTTAAATAGCTAAATTAAATCTCAAGACAAGGAGAGAAAGACAATTGTGGGAGAGAGAAGTAAGATAGATAGATATATAGATAGACAGATAGATAGACAGACAGATATAAAGAAATTGAGATAGATAGATAGATAGATATGAAGAGACTGAGATAGATAGATAGATAGATAGATAGATAGATAGATAGATAGATAGATAGATATGAAGAAATTGAAATAGATAGATATGAAGAGACTGAGATAGATAGATAAGAAGAAATTGAGATAGATGGATGGATAGATATGAAGAGACTGAGATAGATATGAAGCGACTGAGATAGATAGATAAGAAGAAATTGAGATAGATAGATATGAAGAGACTGAGATAGATATGAAGAAATTCAGATAGATAGATAGATATGAAGAGACTTAGATAGATAGATAGATAGATAGGTAGATAGATATGAAGAGACTTAGATAGATAGATAGATAGGTAGATAGATATGAAGAGACTTAGATAGATAGATAGATAGATAGATAGATAGATAGATAGATGGTATTTATCAATCCACCCACGGGGATCGAATGTGGCACAAGGCCTTTTTAATGTGGGTATCTCTGAGCCCGTAGGCCCAGCCAAAAATAAATAACCATCCGAGGCGGGCCAGTTCCGTCAACCTCCCCCAACGAAACCCTACCCTTCGGCAGAGCTTCGTCAGGGTTCCTCTCTGCAAGCAGAGAGTTCGACAGACACCCGACCCAGCAGCTCACAAAGCGCAGATACTACACTTTGATCCTAGCCACCGGGCCGAGCGGGTATTCTTTTTATAGATAGATAGATAGATAGATAGATAGATAGATAGATAGATAGATAGATAACAAGATATACACACACAGAAAGAGAGAGATACTGAAATAAAAAATAAAAAATAAGAGAAATAGAGAATGAGAGAAAAATTAAGTAGAAAGAAAGTGTGAAAAGAGAGAAATAAAAAGAAAGAAAGGAGAGAAAGTTCGAGAGAAATCCTAAACACTTATTAATATCAACATAGCTACACAAACCAAATGAAACACAATTGTTTACAATGTTCGAACAACTAGTGCCCAGAAAGAGAGAGAGAGAGACAGAGACAGAGAAAGAGGGAGAGGAACAGAGAGAGAATGTGAATGAGCTAAGATAGATAAATAGATCGATGGGGATGTAGAGAGAGAGAAAAGAGGAAAATAGAGCTGGGGAGAGAGAGAGAGAGAGAGAGAGAGAGAGAGAGAGAGAGAAAGATAAGATAGAGAGAGTAGGTGAAAAGTGTTGTGAAGTGAATACACATTACTTCATTCAATATCGAAGCTTTGCGCTTTTGGTATTGTTGGGAGGAATAAATTTTCAAAATCTACCAGTACGCGGTTAGTTAAATCCATAGATGTGAACACCGCGGATATGAAGAAATGAGGGTATGCACTTTGAAAAGCACAGGTGATTTTGATAGTTTTTCCGAATGGTCTGCCAAAACACTGTTCGTATCCAATTCCATATTTGTGACGACTCTTCTTCCACTTGTTAATCCATACATGCTGCCCGTGTAGGGAATCGACAACAATGGCCGAGTAATTGATTGGAGAATTCAAACGAACACTGGCCAATTTTTTTCTTTTCCATCCAAATCACATAGGGGAATTAATTTGCCATTTTAAACAAGAGAAGCTCTCCAGAAATGATAGTTGTTTGGGACCTGTGTCTGTTTTAACAATTTCCTCTTTTCTACTGGCTAGAATTTTTCGTCACTGAGACAAAGGCTAATCTCTGATGCATGCCAGGATTTTTAGGCCAACTCGAGTCACCAGTGGGAATGGACATCACGTTTAATTTCTGCCATAGAAAACCCAAGCGGCAACTGGCGAGAAAAATGATGTGTGTCAAATACACACTTTACTAGATAATTATTCTGAATTTTTTCAAAGTATATATATATATATATATATATATATATATATATATATATATATATATATATATATGTGTATTTATCTGTGGGAATCAGCTTTGGCATGAATGAATTTAATACTGTCAGTTAAATGAAATGTGTGAAATGGTTTTTTCACATGTGCTTAGGTGCATGCTATCAGTGTTTATGCTAGAACATTTTATATGTTAGACATTCGTAGAGGTGTTATTAGCAATTAAAATAAACTTATGTGCTTAAGTTCTTTGTTAAGTTCTTTAATTTCATGGCTAGTTTGCATATTCGGATGATGTTACGGCTATCAGCGCAGAAGGGAAAATCTGAGAGTCGAGTTCAAATTCCGGTTGAGTTTGTTTTCGCCATTTCGCCTTTAGTACCTACAGGAATGCATCTAATATTTCTCAAGCTGTGCGTTTACTCGTCTGGCAAAAAAAGACTCTATAGATTTAGGGGACAATGAAAACAAGAGTTGGCAAGTTTTGAATTTCAAACCATGCAGAGTATAATAGGAAACCACTCTGTTATCTTTCAATATACAGAATATCGACATTAAAATCGGTTAAG